TGTCCTGCTGACTCGCCCCCCTTTAGTATACTAGATGGTTGTTGATTTCTACTAACCTGTAGAAGAACTGTTCACGACCCACGTGGCTGACCAATACAGCGCTGCTGAGTGTGGACTACATCCAGTATACAGTGCCATCTGGCTTTGCAGCCTCTAAAGATAATTTGTGCGAACTGAAAAGACAGTGATTGAACATTTAGCAGAGGCGAGTCGGGCTGAGACTGAGAGGGAAGGAGACAGAAGACTGGAGACTTCTCCCTCTGAACTGACTTTTCTGTACTCTGCACCAGGCCAAACCACCTATCACTGAACTGCGAAATTTATGTTGTATAAACAGCTGTTATATAACAAACAACATCAACTTTTTTCCTACAGACTCTGTGTTGGATTGTTTCTGAGGTGTGGAAATCTTACTTATGTAACTCATGCTTATTAATTAACACTACCTGGTGATTCAACGTAAGTGAGCACGGCACAGCACTATTTTTGCATGACCCATAGCTTGCATGAGCATCCAGGACTGCTTTTGATTTTGAAGAAGGACCCTTGAGCCCTCAACCCTCTTCTGCCTGTCTGGCCAACTGTAGCATTTGGGTGTGGAAGGGTGGTTTCTGAATTAGGCCTCTGGATGCTTGTTGAAGATGACTTGTGTTGGCAAATCTAAAAGCCCCTTACCCAAATAGAGAGCTTGGCAGCAGGACACACAAACACAACACACAAATGTGGATGCCGAAGCGGCTTTGAGCCATGCTGGTGTTGCTACTCGTGGAGCCCTGGAGTACAAGCTATCATCATCCCTATCATCATTCACCCAAGCTGAGAAAGATTCAACGGCCCCAAGGAAGAAGTCTACACTTCTGAACAATTCAAAGGAGACTGGAAAACTGCGCTAACACACAGAGATCCACAGCAACATCCACAACCACACATACAGACACACTAATACTGCTTTCAGCAAATCCTTGATACAGGACAACGAAGCTGCAGCAAACGTGAACAGCACAGAAACCGAGGAGGTGAGCAAGCTCTCAGCAAACACACCTTGGGTTGATCAGACCTTTTACACACATGAAAACACACCTTCTTCCTGCATTCATAGCCATGAAGAATACTACACTTGCATCTTGCTTTCAGCAACATGAATGGAAAACACACACACACTGGTTCCATGCTCTAACAAAGCCTTTTATTTCAGAACATGATTGAAATGTTGGGGGGGGGCACCACAAAGGGAGAGGAAGGCGAAAGTGGAGGCGAGAAAGCTGAGGCCGAGAGGGAGTGAGAAACAGAAGGGGGGTGAGGGGGTGGGAAGTGGAGGAACTGCTGCATCTAAATGAAAAAGAGAAATTAAGTTGCCATGGAGGGGAGGCAAAGGAAGGTCTAGGCAGGTGGACCGAACCAAAGCTGACTGATCCAATCTCAGTGTGCAGGAATCAACGGATGACTAGAGAGGAAACAATAACAGAGGATTAGAAAGAGACAGAGGACGCGGAGGACTGCACGGATACTTCTGTAAATAAACCTGAAAGGAGAGATAATGAAAGATTATGAAGAGGTGGAGGTGATGGTGCATGGATGGGAGAGGTAGACATCGTGAATGATAAAGATGCAGAGAGAGGAAACAGTTGGGGAGAGTGAGAGAACTGTCCAGGGAGGGGACAAAATCTAATGATCATTAAGAGGATGTGTCAATAGGAAACCTTGGCATGTGGGCAAAAACACACAAACAGGTTTGTGCCAAGAGGATATTTATGAACGGGATAGTGGGGATAGCGTGGCACTGAGGCATATGCTAGTTGATATTCTTAGCGCATTCCCAATATGGTCTCACTCCTACCTAGACACTTCCTTTTGTGTGCATGTGTTCCTCTCCTTTATTTTCTCTGTTTGTCAAATGCTGGTAATGCTTGGAAATAGTCAGATTTAGGCTAAAAAAATTTTTTTTTACAAAAATAAAAAATAAAATCCAGGTCCATGCCAAATTGCACAAACAATGGCACAAACCCTTTTCACCCTTAGACATCAAACACTGCCTGTGTGGAGCTGCGACAGGAGCTGGTTGTTGTTAAAACACACCTCTTTCACAAGCACACATAGACACAGATGCACCAACAGGCATGTACAGGTACACAAGTGTAGCTATTTTTATGCCCATCTTACAGAGAAAATAACAGCCAACCAATCTTTGGAACCACTCTTCTTTTTGCAGCAAAACTCAGATGATACTGACTTCAGTCTTCACTGCCAGGAACTCATTTCCCATTTCCTCCTCTGACAGACTGTCCAACTCTCCATCTGTCTCCTCGCCTCCATCCCTCTCTCCCCTCCTCCCCACATCTCTTCTATTGTTGCCATCTCTTGTTTGCTTTGCATGGATTTTGACTGCAGCCAAGGGGCAATTTTGCATCTAGCACCAAGTTCGTATACAAACACACACACATGCGCAGAGGGGGTGGGGGAAAATACTTGCTTTAGAGGATTTGTTTATCAAATGTGCTGTCAAATCACGTCAGGCATTTCACATCAGGGCACATTTTCCAGCCCCCGGCTACACAAAAGAAAGGATTCAAACAAGAATGTACCACAATGTAATTTCCACAACTTTCACCACTGTACATTATTCATATTCTACAAATAGTGCGCCGTGAATGCGAGTACACAGAGATCATTTTATCTGAATTGTAAATTTATGTTATTAATGTTGGTGTCAGGGATTCGCCAGAAGACAAGTCATAAAACATCAGCAGAGGAACATATTAATGTTGCAGAAAAATACTTCTATGTAAAACATCTCACCAAAACATTTCAGGACTGTGAATAATTTATAGAAATTTCATGAACAATAGAAAACATGCATTACATGAATACACGTCATCTTGTACTGAGATTATGTCATATATGAATGCTTTGTTCTTGAGATGCTTATTTATAGGTGCATTTCCCTGCATATGTTTTGGTCACAAATGCAAACAAACTCATTCAGGAACCTGTGAAAGCTCTGCTCTATATTCACATATTCTCTTTATTATTTCATGTGAGTGTTAGATATAGTGCAGTCGCAACAAGTCAAGTACTGCTGCTGTCTTCAAAGCTATGAACAGCACTGTGGGCAATTAATCTGATTTCCTTCTCCCCGATCTCTACTCCATTTTAGTTTCATGTCACTCACTCAATTTCAGCTAATCTTCCCGGAATTCTTTTCACTTATTTTCCCTCCCTGCAACTGTCACCGTCCAATTTTCTCCTTCTCTATCATCCCTTTGCTTTCTCTGATTCTTGTAATCTTTCTCGTCTACTCTCCCCACCCCTCATCACAATCTCTGCCTCTAAGTGTCCATTTGTCTTCTGCTTGGTCGCTCTGACCCATATAATACTGGACAGCCATCTAAATTACGTCTGACTATTCAATCCGCAAATCTTCTCCAATTTTAAAATAAAAAAAAACCTTTACTTTTAAGGCAGAAAATACAGCAGTTCGGTCAAGCAATTTTAGAGAAAAAGGTTAACTGTGTGGCTTGTCCAACACTTTATTCAGAACTTCTGTCTTTTTCCAAAACTTACTATATCTGTTATATGTAATTAGCTCAGCCTCCTTTGATTAAAGAATCACTGGGTTTTAGCCTTTGCATTTTTAATACAGTTTCCCCATTTCTTCTCTTTCAGTCAGGAGCTGTGCATCAACATGGCAGCTGAGAGTCTCGCCGAGCTCCGCGACTGGCTCTTTCTGCTCCTCCTGTGCCTCACCTTACTGGCTGAGGTGCTGGAACTGGCGGCAGCGGCAATTGCCATGGAGACAGGCGAGGGAGATGAGGGCATTGTTTGTCCCTCGGTGTGCCGCTGTGATGAAGGTTTTGTCTACTGCAACGACCGTGGCCTCAGCATAATTCCTCCACTACCATTAACGGCTGCTATACTCTACTTGCAGAGCAACCGGCTGAGTAACGCTGGGTTGCCTTCATCACTGGAACGCAGCACTTCCATAAGAGTGATTTATCTGTATGCCAACCAGTTGGATGAATTCCCTATACACCTCCCACCTTCGTTACGGGAGCTCCATTTGCAGGATAATAATATACGAACGTTACCGCGATCAGCTCTGGCCAAGTTACCATTACTAGAACGTTTACACCTGGATGATAACTCTATATCCACAGTTAGCATCCAGGAGAGAGCTTTTTCTGGGACTCCACGGCTTCGACTGCTGTTTCTGTCTCGGAACCATCTGTCAAGCATCCCTGCGGGCTTGCCAGCATCCTTGGAAGAGCTGCGGCTGGACGACAACAGAATCAGCACCATCCCCACACATGCCTTTAGGGGACTCTCCTCGCTTCGACGCTTGGTCCTGGATGGGAACCTGCTGGCCAACACACGCATTGCAGATGACACTTTTTCCCGTCTCTCCAACCTGACTGAGCTGTCACTAGTAAGGAATGCCTTGCAGTCACCACCAGTGAACCTGCCTTCGGCTCACCTTGTGCGACTCCATTTGCAAGACAACGGGATGACCCACATACCAAGAGGGGCACTGGAGGGGATGCGGCGGCTACAGAGGCTAGACCTGTCAGGGAACAATCTAACCACTCTCCCTCGAGGACTTCTGAAGGACACAGAAAGCCTGGAGATGCTACTGCTGCGAGGAAATCCCTGGTACTGCGGCTGCAACCTTCGCTGGCTCCATGCCTGGCTGCACAGCCGGGGGTCAGCGGTGACAGTCCGGGGCCTGACCTGTCAGGGGCCTGAGCCTGTAAGAGGCCAGTCCCTTAGGGACCTAAACTCCCTGATGGAGCAGTGTGAAGGCCCCCCTTCTGGTCCTAGTACTGGAGTTGGGGTGAACCCAGCAGAAAAAGATGGTGAAGGTGATGATGGTGCTGGAGGGGGCCAAGCAGTGGCTTCAGTCCCTCATGGCAGCACCACTACTACCTCTCTGTTAGTTCCTACACAAGGTTCCCTCTTCACCCTGCGAGCCAAGCGGCCAGGCCTTGTTATGCCTCTGCCTCCTGGTGAAGGGGGACAGGTACCTGGAGAGGCCCTGGAGCTGACTGTAAAACCTCTCTCTTCTGACAGTGTACTGGTGACCTGGTTGTGCCCACAGCCAGCACCCTCTTTCCGCCTGTCGTGGCTGAGATTGGGAAGCAGTGCAGCTCTAGGTTCAATAACAGAGACTCTGGTGCCTGGAGAAAGGAAACAGTATCTCCTGACCCAGCTCACCCCACGCTCCCATTACCTCATCTGCCTGCTGCCACTACGACAGGAGCCCTCCTTCGGGGGTTCCAGCATGGGTTCATCTCGAGGTGGCAGCACAGACACGGACAGTAAAGACTCGGCCCCGGCCTGTGCTCAGATAGAGACTGGAGAGGCTCTGGTCAGCTCAGCAGGGGAGGGGTCAGATAAAGAGGGACAGGACTCAGAGATAACAGCCTTGCCATTGGCTGGGATCATAGGGGGTGCTACAGCATTGGTAAGCCTGCTATTAATCTTTGGCATCTTCTGCTGGTATGGACAGAGAGCAGGTTACATGTCCGGGGACTCAGGCTCATACAACAGGGGCCGGGGTGGAAAACATTATGATGACTATGTAGAGTCAGGCACCAAGAAAGACACTTCCATCTTAGAGATCAGGGCCCCCCCTGCAGGGTTTCAGATGACAGCTATGGCCCATCAGCCCCTGCAGCCTAAGCTGGAGGATGTCACCTATATCCACACCATCTTCCCCTCCTCTTCCTCTTCCTCCCAAGCTAACGGGACCTACCGGAGCAGCCATGGAGCTGGTACCCTCAATGGCACCATCCTCAGCCAGACCAGCCACCATCAAGTCACTTATGGTACCAACCGTGGCTACAGAGAGGGTGGCATCCCTGATATAGATTATGCCTATACGTGATGATACAGGGACTCACTCTGGTCTGGTCTGGTCACATTTTGTTCTTGGTTTCCAAAGTACCCTCTGTGCCTCTGCTGGTTCAAAATTGATTTGCTAAGTAGAAAAGACTGTTTTCAGCTATGTTGATTGAACATTACTATTGAGTGACAGAAGTAACAGTCCTATTATATTCTACTACTGTATACTACATTATACGGTGGGCCCTTCTTTCAGCGCTACTTATATTTATAAATGGTTACGTTTTCTCTTTTGGATATCTCAGTGTCTTTCAAATCTACTGTTCTTCACAGCTCATAATAATACACAGTAAGTTATTTGAGGTTGATATACTAGGCTTAGCTGATTTAGCCGGAGATATATTTATAATGCGAGGAAAAGGCACTTGATGTGTATAGAGATAGCTCTCATATCTTCCTACCAACTGTAAGCTCTGTGCTGTATAGATAAAAGGAATGACAGAAGGAGAAATCAATGGTTGTTATTACACACAGACGACAATGCATCATGGTTAACATGAAAAGATGCATCCCTAGCCTCCCTCTGGTTTACTCCCCTCCTGTTTAATTTTTCCTTCTTTACGCCTCTTTTTTTTTTAAGCTGAGGCTCTTTCTTTCTTTTCTTTCTCTCGTGTCTTTTGTGGTGCCGTGAGCAGAGAACGACTTTGTTCTCGCCAAGGGAGCTGACAGCAGTGATAACGGTTCTGACAGAGATGGGAGACACAAATCACAGCATGGGGAAACTAATGAGAGGGAGAGAGAAAAAGCGAGAGAGTGTGGGGAAATGGAGAGATGGACGGATGGAGGAGGACAGCGTAAAAGAAGAC